CCCCCCCCCCTGCGGCCCCGGCCCCCACGCCCACGACCCCTTCCAAACCGCTGCTGCTGCTGCTGCGGCTGCTGCTGCTGCTGCTGCTGCTGCTGCTGCTGCCGACCGCTGCGGCGAGCCATCGCTCGCCCCAAACCCCCGATGCGACCCACCGAACCCCGAGACCCGTACCTTCATAATCAAACACACAAACCCTAAACCCTAAACCCTAAACCCTAAACACTAAACCCGCAGCAGCAAACCCTAATAAAGCCATATATATATATATATATGCAGCAGTAAAAGACGAAGGAGACGAAAGAAAGAGACAGGAGATAAACACAAAGGAGACAAAAAGAGAAAAATGAAAGACAAAAAGGAGACAAAGGAGAGACAAAACAAACAAAAAAAACAAAGACAAACAAACAAAAGAAACAAATAATAAAGACAAAGGAGACAGACAAATAAACAAAAGAAACAGACCATAAAGACAAAGGAGACAGACAAATAAACAGAAGAGACAGACAATAAAGACAAAGGAGACAGCTACCTGCTTCTCTGCAGATAGGCTGGCCGCGGGCCGAAGTAACTCCGGCCCCAGCCCAACGCCTTGCCTCGCCCTCTGCCCCTAGAAGGAGGCAGCCGACCTGCACCCACAAACCCTAAACCCTAAACCCTAAACCCTAAACCCTGAATCTTAGACCCTAGACCAACCCTTTCCTTCTCTGGCTAGGGTATACACACCCTATGAAACAAAGAAAATCAGCAAACACAAAGGGGGCCCCCACAAGCATCAAGGGGGGCCCCTAGATAATAAGACAGTCCTTAACAATCATTTAACCCTAACAATCAGCACCCAGAAGAAGACCTCTAGGGGGCCCCGGGGGCCTTTGGGGGCCCCACAAGAACTTGTGGGGCCCCCAGAGGCCCCCGGGGCCCCGCACGTTCAAAAGGCTTCATAGGCTATCACCGGGGGCCCCCGCATGGCTATAGGGCCCCCTTAGGGGCCCCCAGGGGCCCCTGTGGGGCTTTAAGGGCCCCTGGGGGGCCCCTAAAGGGGGGGCCCCAGGGGCCCCTAGAGTGTGATAGGCGCAGCCAACTGGATAAAGATACCGCTGGCTGGGGGACCCCACAGAAGATAGAAGAATTGAAAGAAGTTGATAAAGAAAAAGACAGAAGGAGACAGAGAGATTTGGGGCTCGAGAGACAGAAGAATGAAGAGAAACGAGGGTCTAGGGTTTAGGGTTTAGGGTTTAGGGTTTGGGGAGGTTATAAGGCCTCACCTAGCTGGCCACCGCGACCCCTGGTGTTGAAACTTCGCACCATCTCCGATGCTTGCTGCTGCCCCCTAGCAAGGCTAGGGTTTAGGGTTTAGGGTTTAGGGTTTGAGACTAAGCCGCACTGCATGCAAGCCCAGCGCTTCTCTCTATGGATGCCCCTTTATAAATAGACAACTTGCTGTTTAAAAGAGGCTGCAGCTGATGCCTGACACCTGCTGCTGCTGCTAATCTGCTGCTGCTGCTGCTGCTGCTGCGGCTGCTGCTGCTGCTGCTGCCGCTGCTGCTGCACCTCAGGAGGCGAACTGATGCGTCTGTCCTTTCTAAGGAAGCAGCTCGGCATGCAAATATCTTTAAATAGGAAATATTAAAAATCCTTGCTGCTGCTGCTGCTGCTGCTGCTGTGGCGGCTGCTGCTGCGGCTCCTCTTGCTGCTGCTGGCTTCCCAGGGGGGGCCGCACATGCAGCGCAGCAGCCAACGGCCACAGCAGCAGCAGCAGCAGCTGCTGCTGCTGCGGCTGCTGCTGCTGGTGTGTGCGTGTATTGTTGGGTGCCCTCGGGCCTCAATTAGGAGTAAAGAATTGCTGCAGCATTTCGTTCATGCCGATTGTTATTACTTTCTTGTTTTAGGGTTTAGGGTTTAGGGTTTAGGGTTTAGAGAGGCGAACTGAGGGATTCGAAATTGGGGTGTATAGGGACCTTCCGTCTCCCGCTGTCTCCTCTTACCGTTAGCACACCTCCCCTTCTCCTGAGGCTGCAGCAGCAGCAGCAGCAACAGCAGCAGCAGCAGCAGCAACAGCAGCAGCAACAACAACAACAGCAGCAGCAGACGCACTCTGGATATCCTGTGTGTCTCTTCGAGTGGTCTCTCTGCTGTCTACGGTTCTCTCGTACAGGGGAGAGGGTTTGAGTTTCAAGCCTAGGGTTTAGGGTTTAGGGTTTAGGGTTTAGCGTCGGCGATGTCTTCCTCTTCAAGGGCCTCTCTCTTTCGCTGTTTCTGCCTCCTTTATTTTAGTCTCTGCTGCTGGCAGCCTCAACAAGCAGCAGCAATAGCAGCAGGAACAGCAACAGCAGCAGCAGCAATGCCTTCCACTACACCACCAGCAGCAGCAGCATCAGGAGAAGCAGCAGCAGCAGCAGCAGCAGCATTAGCGGAAACAGCAAAGGCAGAAGCAGAAGCATTAGCAGAAACAGCAAAGGCAGAAGCAGCAGCAGCAGCAGAAGTAGCAGCAGCAAAAGAAGCAGCAGCAGCAGAAGAAGCAGCAGCAGGGGTGCCTCATGCGGATGACAATGAGGGTAGCCCCGAAGACTATGACTATGTGGGAACGCAGGTTAAAGTAGTTCTGGCGGAGATTGAAGCAGCAGCAGCAGCAGCAGCAGCAGCAGCAGGGACAGAAGTGAAGATTCCTCTTCTGGTTGCTGTTTCAAAGACGTATCCTGCTGCTGCTGTTGCTGCAGCAGCAGCAGCAGGCCTACAACATTTCGGAGAGAATTACCCTCAAGAGTTAATTGACAAATCAAAAAAGCTTCCGGATGATTTGAAGTGGCATTTGATTGGTAGGGAGGTGTGGGGTTTCGGGTGTATACGCAGCTCCTTTCCTCTTCTCTGACGCTCTCCTACTTAGGGTTTAGGGTTTAGGGTTTAGGGTTTAAGGGTTGTTCTACGCAAATGCTGGAGGGGTATGCAGAGTTAGGGGCTATATTAATATCTTCCCTCGTGAATGACTGCCCTTTAGGGCTTAGGGTTTAGGGTTTAGGGTTTAGGGTTTAGGGTTTAGGGTTTAGGGTTTAGGGTTTGCTGCAGGGGGCCTCCAGTCAAACAAAGTGAGAGCTCTGCTGAAGAAGGTGCCTCATCTACACTCTGTTGACTCTGTAGACTCAGAGGATCTCGCTTTGCTGCTGGATAAAGAAGCAGGAAAATTAGGGAGACGGCTCAGAGTGTTGGTGCAGGTAAGCAGCAGCAGCAACAGCAACAGCAGCAGCAGCAACAGCAACAGCAACAGCAGTAAAATGCGTGGGTTTGAAGCCCTCCACGCACGCGTGTATTTCTGCAAGGATGAGTTGGTGTATATTGATATAATTAATTTAATTTAATTAATTTAATTTAATTAATTTAATTAATTATTTGTTTATTTGTTTAATTGTTTAGGTAAACGCAGGAGGAGATCCTCAGAAGAGAGGTGTGTTGGGTTCTGACTGGCCTTCAACTCTGCAGCTAGCGCTTGACTTAGCTCTTCTCATCGTAGAAGAATGCGACAGTCTAATCTTCAGAGGCTTCATGACTGTTGCGTATGCTCAACCCTTGCTGCTGCTGCTGCTGCTGCTGATGCTGCTGCTGATGTTGCTGCTGCTGATGTTGCTGCTGCTGCGGATGTTGTTGCTGATGCTGCTGCTGGTGAGGATGTTGCTGCTGCTGGTGAGGATGTTGCTGCTGATGTTGCTGCTGGTGCGGATGTTGATGCGGATGTTGCTGCTGATGTTGCTGCTGCTGCGGATGTTGCTATTGTTGCATTTGCTGCTGATGTTTCTGCTGCTGCTGCATTTGCTGCTGCCGATGTTGCTACTACTGCTGCTGCTGCTGATAGTGCTGCTGCTAGTAGTGATAGTCGTTCTGCTGCTGTTGCTGCTACTGCTACTTCTGCTGTATTAGTTTTTTGGGGTGTACAACCAGCTGCATGGATGCATGCATGCATGCATGCATGCATGCATGTTTGGGGCTTTGTTTGCGGTGCTGCAGGCCTCAAGAAGCAACAGCAGCAGAGGAAGCGTTTACAAGAATGGCGGAGCTAAAAACTGCTGCGCTGGCCAATGACACAATCAGAGAAAGTTTAGGGGGTGCGGTTGTCTGCAAATAAATAAATATAATTATAATTAATTTAGATAAAGATACGCTTCTTATAAATATGTATATATGTATATATATATACATACATATATACATATATATATATATATGTATATATATCTGCATGTTATTCGATACATTATCTTTATTAAGATAAATAAGACGATAATACTAATCTATTCTTTTATATATATATATTTATTTGTTTATTTGTTTATTTGTTTATTTGTTTGTAGGCGAAGACTTAGAGTTGAGCATGGGGATGTCTCGAGATATGCAGGCGGCAATCGCCCACGGCAGTACTCAAGTCCGAGTCGGCACCGCAATCTTTGGGGCGCGTAAAACCCGAAGGGTTTAGGGTTTAGGGTTTAGGGTTTAGGGTTTAGGGTTTAGGGCCTTTAGATGCTTGGGTTTCAGCCCCACATACAGCCCAAGGAATGGGCGACATACATGCATGCATGCAAGCATGCATGCATGCAGATTAAATGAAGGGGGTTTCTTTATATTTATATACATGCATATATATATATATATATATATGCTTCATTGGGTGCTGTTCTTCTGCATGCAGCCCCAGACACCAGCAGCAGATAGAGCCCGCATGCATGCATAAATGCTGCAGCAAGTAGCAGCTGTTTGCTGCTGCGTGCAATAGATTTGTTGCAGCTGCTTCTGCTTGAAGAAGGGGCTGCTGCTGCTGTTGTGCAGCGAGCGCCTTTCTTTTTGCTGTTGCTGCGCTGCTGTTGCTGCTGCACTGCTGCTGCTGCAAGCGGGGCCCTGCTCTTCATATAATATTATTTTAAATAGAATACGTTTGCCGAATTTATTATGCTTTTAATCTCCGTACAAATTCAAATAGCCAACTGCATGCAACAAGCCCCAAAGTTCTGCATGCATGCAGTGCACTCCAAGTGTCTAGGGTTTAGGGTTTAGGGTTTAGGGTTCAGGGATTAGGGTTAAGGGCAGCAGCTCCTTCAACCTCACTGTTTTGAAAGCAATATAGGGTTTATTTTATTGTAGGGTTTAGGGTTTAGGGTTTAGGGTTTAAGATGCAGTCTGTTTTTAGAGGGTGTATATGATTGATTATATATTATATTACGATTGTAATAAATTATATTTTCACCTTAATAAATATAAATATAACATATTTATATTAATAAAAATATTTAATATGCATGAAGGCAGACAAAGACAAACAGTATTTCTACTGCATACAAACATTTATATATATTTAATATATACACGAGCACTTGTAGAAATGCAATATGTATGCGTATATATATTAAACTATATTTTTATATATCGTAGAGTATAATATATAACTATACATATTTTTATTTATATATTTGTACATATATATATATATATATAAACATAAATATATCCTCGATAAACATAATATTAAATACAAACAAGTGCTCGTATGACTATATCATACACAAATATATATAATATATATAATACTATATAATATTATATATATATATACATATATATATTTATCTATAAAAGGAGACAGCATTATATTAGATTATTACTCAACTCAGTCTCCTTTGCTGCATCAAAGGAGACAGTGCTGTCTCTTTTTCTGGTAGAGTGCAGCTCTTGCTGTTTATGTTTAATTATTTTTTGTTGTTTTTATGTAGCTATCGATAAAGATTGTGAAATAAAATTAATTTTTTAGTATAACACCAACAGCTGCACAGCGGAGCGTCTCCTTCATTATACAGCAGCATATGCATAGGCTTCCTTCTAATGCAATAAAACCCTAACTTCATCATTAAGGGCCCCGATAAAGAGACCCCACAAGGGCCCCACACACAGGATCCTACCCCACAGACGATCCCAGGTGGTGGGATCGTCTGTGGGGACGATCCCAGTAGGTGGGATCGTATGTGGGGATTCCCGCCCCATGTGGAGGCCCCTCTAACGGCCCTTAAAAAGACCCCTATTAAGCCCCCTGTGTGTCCCCTATAAGGGCCCTTGTGGGGCCCCTATTAGAGGCGGAGAAGGACCCTTTGGGGGGCCCCTTTGGAGGCCCCTGTGGGGGCCCCTGTGGGGGCCCCCTGTGGGGGCCCCTGTGGGGGCCCTGTGGGGCCGCGCTTTGTTGGGTGGGGCTGCGTTTGAATGATGAGGTTGAGTTGTTTGTGTTTGTTTGTTTTTTGTTGTTCGATATTTGCTGGTCTTTAATATTTATGAAGCCAGCAGCAGCAACAGGAGGAGGGTGCTGCAGAGAAAGTGTGTTTGTGTTATGTGGATGAGGGCTGTGTTTAGAGGCTTTTTCTTTGTATTGTTCTTTGTTTTGAAGCCGTTTAAATTAAATATACTATTTAAATCTTATGTTTTACTCTTTTATCGTAAAACTCTCTTTTTTTTCAATCTCCTGCTCTCTGCATCACCCCCGCATATTGCTTGGCCCGCAGCAGCTGCGCATACACCCGAGGGTTTTAATAGGAAGAAAAGAATATATAAAACCTTTATAGCTTTTGTTTTTACGTTTCATCTTCTTTTAGAACTTCTTTTTACGTTAGTCTGCCCCACCAGACCCTTTTTTATTCATTGGGGCCCTCATATACCCCCCCCTGCAGCCGCTGCAGCTGATGCTGGTGCTGCTGCTGGTGCTGCTGCTGCTGCGAGCAGCACATTAACATGCACTGCAGCTGCAGGGAGTTGGGCCCCTTGGTGCCCATGGGCGAGCCTCTCAAGGCGGCGACCCAGGCGCAGCAGCAGCAGCTGCTGCTGCAAGAGCAGCAACAGCAACAACAGCAACACGCCCAGCAGCAGCGTCGCTTGCAGCAGCAGAGGCTGCAGCAGCACTGCGTCCAGGAGCAATGCCTTCTTCAGCACCAGCATCTGCAGCAGCAATTGACGCCACCTTTTCATCAGCAGCTGCTGCCGCAGCAGCAGCTGCTCCTGACGCAACAGCAGCAGCAGCAGCAGCATTTGCTGCACGAGGAATGCGTACACTCCAGACGGCACTGCTGGGATGCTGATCCTTCTGTTGCTGCAGCAGCAGCAGCAGCAAACGATGCGCCTCTATGGAGGGGCTATAATGATGCACACCCCTTAGTACAGCAGCTACTAGAGTACCAGCGGCAGCAGGAGCAGTTGCTGCAGCAGCAGCATCTGCAGCAGCTGCAGCATCTGGATCAACTGCTTCACCCTGATGCCTTTAACGCCGCCCCCTCCCAGCCTCGCTGGTCTCACCGCAAGCAGCTGCAGCAGCAGCACCACCAACAGCAGCAGCTGCCGCAGCAGCAGCAGCAACAGCACGAACAACAACAACAACAGCAACAACAACAGCAGCAGCAGCTGCCTCCGCAGCAGCAGCGGAAGCAGCATTCAACGCAGCAGCCGCCCCCACCGCCGCAGCAACCCCCGCCTCCGCCTCCGCTACAGCAGCACCCGCTGCTACAGCAGCAGCAGCAGCAGCAACAGCAGCAGCAGCCGCTGCTGCAGAACCCCCAGCTAGAAGGGAGACGCTTGCTGCTGCCTGCTGCAGGCCTCAGGGAGCGAAGGGGTCAGAGCTCTTCACCCCTGAGCCCTCTGCTGCCAACTCCGCCTCAGCCTCCGCGGCAGCAGCAGCAGCAGCAGCAGCAGCAGATGCTGCTGCAGCACAGAAGAATGTACAGCAGAAAACCCCACATCGATAGAATCTCCGAGTTAAGGTATATACACCGCCACCAAGACAAACAGATTCTCTCTACGAGCCCTGAAGGCTCAGCAGGAAGCGGCAGCAGCTCCCAGCAGGCGCAGCAGCAGCAGCAGCAGCAGCAGAAGCAGCAGCAGCAGCTGCTGCAAAAACAACAGCCCTACAAGCAACACCAACAGCAGAGAAACCTCCAGGAGAAGCAACAAACAAAGCAGCAGCAGCAGCAACAACAGCAGCAGCAGCAGCAGCTCGCGCACCAGGAGAAACAACAGCAGCAGCAACAAAAACAACAGCAGCAGCAGCAACAGCAACAGCAGCAGCAGCAGCAGGTGCAAGACGCTCTAAAGAAGCCCGCTTCGGCTTCCTGCTGCCTTTCTCCTGAGGATGAAGCAACACTGGCGCAGCTGCTGCAGCAAAGAGTTAAGAGAGTTAGAGTAGAGCAGCTGGTGCTGCGGCTGCTGAGAGATATGCAGTGCCGCAAGGGAAAGGTCTCCGCGAAGCAGCAAGAACACTTGCAGCAGCTGCTGCTGCTGCAGCAGGTACTGCTGCAGCAGCAAGCACAGATGTGGGATACCGCGCTGCTGCTTAGAGCCGTATACCCAGGGGCCCCTATGCAGCAGCAGCAACTGCAGCAGCAGCAGCAGCAGCAGCAAGAACAGCAGGAGCAGCACGAACTGCAACAAGCATTTGAGTGCGAAATTAAGAGCAGCCTTAGCAGCATCCGGCTGCAGCAGCAGAACCACCACGACTTGCTGCTGCAGATGCAGCAGCAAGTAGCAGCAAGCAGGGCCGATGTGCTGCAGGCAGCAGCAGCGCAGCAGAAGCTGAAGCAGCGGCTGCAGCAGCTTAGCGTAGAGTTTAGCAGGTTGTCGTTTGGAGGCCCTGAAGAGATGGGGGAGGCGGAGCGGCAGCAGCAGCAGCAGGTGCTGCAGCAGCAGCAGGTGCTGCAGCAGCTGCAGCAAATAAGGCAGCAAATGCATCAAGATGTTGTTGCTGCACGAACAATAAGCAGAGGCTTACGCCTTGAAGCAGCAGCACTTTGGGATAAGTTAAGAAGGGCCCAGAGAAGAAACAGCATACTGAGGACCCCTGCTGCAGGCAAAGAGCAGCAGCAGCAGGAGCAGGAGCAGCAGCAGCAGCAGCAGCAGCAGCAGAGCCTCCCAGCCCACCCCACCTCCCTGCGGGCATCAAGCCGACAGCGACAGCATAGCGGCAACGACACGTGGAGCAGCAGCAGCAGCAGCAAAAGGAGCAGCAGCAGTGCAGCAACTGCAGCGGCAAACGCAGCAGCAGCGCAGCAACTGCAACAGTAGCACTCGAAGCAACCTGCTGTCTCCAGCAATGGGCGGGATAAGCACAAACGTGCAGCAGCAGCAGCAGCGCAGCAGCAAGTGCAGCAGCAGCAGCGCAGCAACAAGTGCAGCAGCAGCAGCGCAGCAGTAGAATGTGCAGCAGCAGCAGCAGCAGCAGCAGCAGCAGCAGCAGCAGCAGCGCAGCAGCAAGTGCAGCAGCAGCAGCGCAGCAGCAACGCAGCAACAGGTGCAGCGGGAGCACCGCTGCAGCGAGCGCAGCAGAAGCAGCGCAGCAGCAAATGCAGCAGCAACGTCGGCTGTAGCAACAGCAAACTACATGCAGGAAACCCTCCTCCAGGCATTTGGTGGTGATAGAAGAACTGCAGCAAGCGCAGCAGCAATGACAGCAGCGCAGCAGCAGCAACAGAAGCGCAGCAGAAGCAACAGCAGCCGCTCTAGAGTCAGCAGCAATACCGCCAATGCTAGCGGTACTGCAGCAGCATCGCTAATAGCAGCAGCAGCAGCAAGGACAGCAGCAGCAGCAGCAGCATTAGCGGCAGAAGAAGCAACAAAAGGCTGTCGCCAGCAGCAGCAAAAGCAGCAAAGCAAAAGCAGCATCAACAAGAGCAAAGCTAACGGCAGCCACAGCAGCAACAAGCACAGCAGCAGCAGCAACAGCAGCGCGCAACCAAACATCACCATCAATAGCAACAGCAAAGCACAAGGAAGGTCAGCTGCCGCAGGAGCAGCAGCAGCAGCAGCAGCTGCTGCTGCTGCTGCTGCAGCAGCAATGACGGCAGCAGAGAAGGTCAGCGGTAGCAGCAAAAAAGGCTAACGCAAGGACGGTGAGACCAAAACTACCATCATCAACAGCAGCAGCAGCAGCAGCAGCAGCAGCAGCAGCAGTAGCGGCAGCAGCAGCGGCAGCAGCGGCAGCAGCAGCACCCGAAACACCATTTTATTATTGAGTTATTAGTACTATTCTCATCATCAACAGCAGCAGCCACAGCAGCAAAGCTTCCTGGAGGACACTGCTGCAGCAGAGCAGCCGCTGCGGCAGCAGCGGTAGAGCAGCAGCAGCAGCAGCAGCACCAGCAGCAGCATTTTATCGAGGGGCCTGTTTATACCCCAGCTGGTTTGTATACGTACTATTTAGCTGGAGGGGTCGGCAAAAGAGTTAATTGTTGCTGCAGTAGGCATCCATGGGATCCGATCCCATATGGGATCCGATCCCCGCAAGGAGCCGATCCCAGCAACAAGCCGATCCCAGCGTGGATCCGATCCCCGTACGGATCCGATCCCCGCAAGGATCCGATCCCGTATGGGATCCGATCCCCGCAGGAACCGATCCTACATGGGATCCGATCCCATGTAACGGTTCTACCCCAGCACTATCCGATCTCCGCAAGGATCCGATCCCCGCAAGGATCCGATCCCCATAAGGACCCAATCCTCCCTGGGATCCGATCCCAGCATTGATCCGATCCCCGCAAGGAACCGATCCCACATGGGATCCGATCCCTGCAGGATCCGATCCCCACAAAGATCCAATCCTCCCTGGGATCCGGTCCCCGCAGGATCCGATCCCCGCAGGATCCGATCCTATGTGGGATCCGATCCCCGCAAAGGAGTCGACCCCACAGGGAGACGATCCCATTGGGGTGGGGTTTCTTGTGGGGTTTTAATTCAAAGGACTGAGTGTGTATATTCCACAGTGCCCGTGTTTGTTTGTCTTCTTGTGGGCCCCGTTGAGGTGTATACGCAGCTCGGGCCGATGTACACTTAAGACAAGCATAGGGAAATCAAACTTTCTTTTTAAGGCTTGCTGTTCTTCTTCACCTGCACCTAAACCCCAGCCCCATTGCTTCTAGGGTTTAGGGTTTACAGAATAGGGTTTGGGGTTTAGCAAGGAGCCCAGCTTGCGTGTTAGGCTTTAGGGTTTAGGGTTTAGGGTTTAGGGTTTAGGGTTTAGAATACTTACTCAAAGAAAGGAAAAGGTAGTCTTGAACAACATTGCCCTTGTTTACTGTATTCTAGTTGCTGCAGCTTGCGTTGCTGCCGATGCTGCTCAACTGCTGCTGCTGCTTTTGCTGCTGCTGATGCTGCTGCTGTTTTTGCTGGTGCTGGTGCTGCTGCTGCTCTACTGCTGCTTCTGTTACTGCTCCATTGCTGCTGCTGCTGCTTCTGCTGCTGCTGCTAGACGAAGCAAGGAGATGCTAAGGGGAAGCAGTTCTCTCCAGTGCTGCAGCAGCAGCAGCAATACGCCTTTTATTGAGTTAAAGTTTGTCTTTTAGTATTTTCATGCGCATGCAGAATAAAGAAACGAAGTAGAAAAGGGTTTAAACGTCTTTCTTTGTTAATGCATGCATTAAATGAAACAGATTTTTTTAGTCTATTATCTTTTATATCTTCTATCTTAATGCATTTGCTAACACATAAAGACATAAAATATAAAAGATAATTAAATAAATATATGCCTCCTTCTCTTTAAAAGAAAAACCTCTCTCCTAATCTCCTAATCTTCGCATGCATGCATCATGCATACGGCTATGCTTTGGGGCTTCCTTCTTTTGTTTTCTTCTTTTTTGTTCGTCTCCTAGAAGCTGCTAATCCCTGAACTCGCATGCAGCAGCTCCTGCAGCAACAGCAGACATATAGATAGTATATCTATATACTATATATGTACACTCCTATACATATATATATATATATATATATATATATATATATGTATATATATATGTTTGAGTGTGTGTGTGTGTGTGTGCATGTATATAAAGTGAAGAAATATACCTATTTAACACAAAAAGCCGATATATCTATATAAAGAAATAATATATCTATATAAATAAATAATATATCTATATAAAGAAACAATATATCTATATAAAGTATATAAATAATATATCTCTATAAAGTAAATAAATATATCTAAAAAGACATTTAAAAACCTATTTAATGGAATCGCTAATATAAACCCCTTTTATTTTCCTCGTGAGCTTAGCTTAATAAACCCTAAACCCTAAACCCTAAACCCTAAACCCTAGCAGGTATGCATGCCTGCGTCAGTGGTTAGAGGAACTATACTGCGGTATTACTTTGCAATAGAAAGAAGTTTATTTAAAAAGATTAAAGAAATGAATATATTTATTTATTTTATTTCTTTTTATCTTTTTTATTGCTGCTGCAGCACCTGCATGCATCTGAAAACGTTATATACAGCAGCAGCAACAGCAGCAGCAGCAGCAGCCGCAGCAGAAGAACAGCAGCAGCAGCAACAGCAGCAACAACAGCAGCTGTTGTTACAAAGAGCATAATTATTTGAATGCGTGAATTAAATATATCCATGTAAACAAACCCCTTAGGTTTTTATTGCTTTAAGTAGAGAGAGTCAGCTGCTTGTTGCTGCTGTTTATAATATAACAGCGGGGCCCCCTCTACCTTCTCTTCTCTGCAGCCTTTGCTTCTAAGCCCTTCCTTTATCCTCCTCATGCATCTCTAAAGACATCACCACAATGCAAACAGCCCTAGCCTGCGGCTGCAGGGCAGCAGCAGCAGCAGCAGCAGCAGCAGCAGCAGCAGCGGGAGCAGCAACAGCATCGGCAGCGGCAGTCGCTGGTTCCGGTGCAGCAGCGCGACACACGCACCATGCATCTACACCAGCAGCAGCAGCAACAGCTGCAGCAGCAGCAACAACAACAACAACAGCAGCGCCTGCTGCACCTGCCCCTTTGAACTTTGCTTCAACAGCTTGCAGCTTAGCGGATATTCAGCGTTATAGAGGTCTCCTTCAGGGGGCCCCCAGGGGCCCCCGGGGGCCCCCATCGCACAGACAACTACCAGTTAGTGGATGTGATATAAGCCAGCGCTTCAGCAGCAACATGCAGCGCTTCTACACATCTATAGGGGTGCAGCAGTCGCTGCACCTCGCTGCTGCTGCTGCTGCAGAAGCAGAAGCAGCTGCAACAGCTGCTCCTGCAGCAACAACAGCAGCAGGAATTAGCAGCAAGGCAGCAAAATCAAGACCTTTGCTGCAGAATCTGCAGCTGCAACGCCACTCGCAGCTACACCTGCCGCAGCAGCGGGTGCTGCAGCAGCTCCTGCAGCAGCAGCAGCAGCAGCAGCAGCAGGGTGTGTTCTCATGGAATAGTTGCGGTTTAGGTCTTTCTAGAAGCCAGTGGCGTTTGTTTAACACAGCAGCAGCAGCAGCAACAGCAGCAGCAGCAACAGCAGCAGCAACAGCAGCAGCAGCACAAACCCCGGACTCCGCTTCAACCCCATCAGGGAAGGCGGCGGCTTCGCATGCGTCGAAGCAGCAGCAGCAGCAGCAGCAGCAGCAGCAGCATTCCTATAGAAGATACTCGGCGGGGATGGGGGGCCCCAGGGGCCCTGGGGGCCCCCGCAACTCCTGGGGCGTAGCAGGGGTATTGAAAGCAGCAGCAAGATTTACAGTTAATATAACTCTAAAGCTATTGAAGCTTACGTGGCGGTTAGCTTAAACCCTAAACCCTAAACCCTAAACCCTAGCTGGCCTTTGCACCAAGTTAAAGAGGGTGATTGTGTGCACTGAGCGCGAATTCAAAACAATACGGCAAGGGGAACCGTTTAGGGTTTAGGGTTTAGGGTTTAGGGTTTAGGGTTTAAGCTTCTGCTACAGAGGCTGTCTCCTTTTCTGCGGTGTATTAAACCCTCGTTAGAGATTGGCGTTGCTATACTTCAATGTCTCCTGTTTTAGGGTTTAGGGTTTAGGGTTTAGGGTTTAGTTGTTGTTTCTGTCTCTTTCTCTGTCTCTGTTTGTTTGTTTGTTTATTTTTGTTTTTATTTTTATTTATTTATTTCCCCCTCTATTTTTATTTATTTCCTTTTAAAGCAATTGTTTTTAATTTAATTAATTTTATTTAATTTTATTTAGTTTGTCTCTTTTGTTTTTAGGCTTGGGCTGAGCACCTGCCGATACACCGCAGAATTCATTCGCAATCCGCGTGTAGCAGAGAAGTGGTATACGCACCTAAAAGAAGGTGCTGCAAATATCGTTTTTATCTTTTCTTTTGTCTCTTCTTCTGTCTCTTCTTCTGTCTCCTTTTGTCTCCTTTTGTCTCCTTTTGTCTCTTCTTCTGTCCCTTCTTTTGTCTCTTTTTTTTGTCTCCTCCTTGTCTCTTCTTTTGTCTCTTCTTTCTTTCGTCTCTTCTTTCTTTTGTCTCTTCTTTCTTTTGTTTCTTCTTTTGTCTCTTCTTTTGTCTCTCTCTTTGTCTCTCTTTTTCTGTTTTTATCTGCATTTGATTCTTTTTGTCTCCTTTTGTCTTTTTTCTGTCTCTTTCTTTGTCTCCTTTTGTCTCCTTTTAGCGTCTTTGTTCGTCTTTATCACTTTCTTTGTCTGCTTTTTCTGTTTATTGGGCTTATCTGTTTATTTATTTTTCTTGCTTTGTTTGTCTCTGTCTCTGTCTCTTCTCCTTTCACTCCGCTTCCACCTGCTGCTCCTCCCTCTCAGCCCCCTCTAGGGTTTAGGGTTTAGGGTTCATGGCATAGGGTTTAGGGTTTAGGGTTTAGGGTTTACGGTTTAGGGTTTAGGGTTTATGGTTTAGGGTTTCGGGTTCAGGCTTCAATGGTTTGGGGTGTAGGGTTTAGGGTTTAGGGTTTAGGGTTTAGGGTTTAGGGTTTAGGGTTTAGGGTTTGTGGTTTGTGTGTGTAGCGACACTGCACACTGTGCGTTGGTGTATGACTGGCTTTCGTTTATTTTTCGCCAATGTTCGCGTGTCTTATCAACTTTTAAAGAAGAAGATATTAGGATATCCACTTCGTTATAACGAGCACAAGCTTCTTGTTAGTCTCATCCCTTTGTTTGTTTCTGTGTTTATTTGTTTATTTATTTGTTTGTTTGTTTGTTTTGTTTGTTTGTTTGTTTTGTTTGTTTGTTTGTTTGTTTTGTTTGTTTGTTTGTTTGTTTTGTTTGTTTGT